GCCCAGATAATTGTGTTTGAGGGAGTGGGGATATCAGAGGAACTACAGTTTATATTTTGTATCGGTATATTTTAAAACCGCTATATGAGATTTAGCTTGGAAAGGATTACATAGGCCTATCCCATCCTGTAACAGGCAATTTTTTCTTCCTGTTGGATGTGAAAAGGATACTATTAAAAGTTGCCAGCACTGAAATCATATGATGATAGATTGTTGGGTGTATGTACACATCCCCTCAATATCTCCATCACTCTAGGATCACTGACTGCTAATTACAAAGGTTATTTACAACTCTCTTGGCATTACTGTATATAGTAAAATTGTATCCCTTTAGCATACATAGTAATTTAAATAGCAATCTTGGGAATATTCCTTCTCTACTGTCTCTGGCTCTAGTTAATTCCTTTCATGAAGAAAATTTGCACAAACTGCCATTTTTTGAGCAGTATATTTTTGATCGACATGGTAATACCAAAATTTGCACAATATTTTAGAATGTTCGTAGTGAGGAACTCGTATAAGTAGCAATGATGTGGAGTGTGACGGCCAATGTACTCGAGTAATTGATAGAAATGTGATGTTAGTCTCATTTTGTCAACTCTTCAAGAAAGAAATTTTGAGTTTTATTTATGTGAGGATAATGTCCTGTGGGAGCATACAGCAAAAGTAATGAAACTAACTAGTTTCTTAGTAAATTAAAAATGTTGACAGGCCCCATGGGACATGTGGCAGCCGCAGTGTGGCTTTCCATGTGGTGGGAAAATCCCCTACTCTTTCCCAAAAGGTGTAATATGTTCTCTAACCTGAACATGAGCTACCAGAAGAGGTGGGCTATGGTCGGTATTTTATAAGAGAGATGAGACTGATGGAGTAGAACCAGGGAAACAAAAATAACCGTGTTTCAAGGCGCACATAGTACTACCATTAGTTTTAGCATTAGCCAACTAATGTACTCTGCACTGTTATGCCCAATGTCTTTATTTGCGCCTGGTAGGATCACCTTCTTTACATTATAGTCAAATGATGGCCACTTCACGCCCTCACCGTTGCATGTGAATTACTGAAGTCTCTGAAGTTGATAATTAGATTTGTGGAAAAGGTTCTGTTGTGCAAACTCTGTAATGATTCTTCATTATTACATCAGGTGGCTTATTGAACATTTTCATAGGCTTTCAATGTCACATTCCAATTGTGAGCTCTTCCACTATACACCTATCTGTTAACATCATCATGCCTCCAAGCTTTCATCAACATTTACCCAGCAATTACATTACAAGTGTGATTTACTGGCGAAGCTATATAGAATGAACAAATTTAAGGAAAAATCCAAGGATTTTGTATTAAGATGTTTTGTTTTTGACCAATAGCAGTCAAGAGAGAGAGATTGAAGTGTGATTTACTGGTAAAGCTATATAGAATGAACAAATTTAAGGAAAAACCCAAGGATTTTGTATTAAGATGTTTTGTTTTTGACCAATAGCAGTCAAGAGAGAGAGATTGAAGTGTGATTTACTGGCGAAGCTATATAGAATGAACAAATTTAAGGAAAAATCCAAGGATTTTGTATTAAGATGTTTTGTTTTTGACCAATAGCAGTCAGGAGAGAGATGGATGTTTGAAATTAGGGGAGAGTCTGATGCAGCATCTGGGAATTATCAGGAGGTGGTGTGATGGTCACTTCTGGTTTGACCAACAGGTGTGAAATCTAACACATTCTTTGATTTTAATTTTGTTGACTTGTTGTGACTTGAGTGATTTGTATTTTGAGACCCCAGAGGAGAGGAGGTAGGTAAGTGATAATAGGAAGAGTGATGGCAATGGTGTGGAAGTAGGACAAGGAGTAATGGGATTATGAGTACAGCATTAGGAAAGGAAGTAGGTATAGGAAAGCATAGAGGTATAATTTATACCTCCATTAAGAAAGGTACTGGGAAAGGATATAGGTATAAAAAAAAAGGATATGCCTGCCTGGTTGGGATTCCCTCCATCCCTCTTAATGGTTAAGGATTAAATAGAGGTTCTAAATGGAGTTGTTGCTTTGCCTTTTAAGTCCAGGATGGTTTTACCCATTAGAACCAGAATCAGGGTCCTAGGTAAATCCTTTCAAGTGATAGGCTTCTTCCTCAGAAACAAGAATTAATAAATTCCTATGTTTTTTTAGCCTCATTAGCTTTAATTTCTCATTGTGTTGTGAAGGTCAGTGCCATGCAATGACTTATTGCAGCTCTAATAGATTTTATAACTATATTTTCATTACTGTATTTCTATCATTGATGCCAATATTTTATTTTTAAATCCATCAATGTTGACTGATTTTTCTTATTAAAATAGTTGCCAACTTATGTCTTATTATTGCTTCTATTCTTGATTTATAATTATGTTGGCTCCAAGAAAAATAGAGTGGTTAATAGCCAGAGGGCGGGAACATATTAATGTTTAAAAGAGTGCCTACATTATGTTAACAGGATAAAGCTGGTCAGCAAGTGGATAACATACATCCGAATGCAACCAAACCATTTGATTGGCTGATAGTCACAAATTAGCAGACAATATCTCTCAAGAGACTAGTAACATTTGTACTACGTGATAGTATGTGAGACACCAAGTGCCTCTGTAAAAGTTCGCACCCATGCAACCTATGTATTTCTTTACTGGGTTCAATTCCTCCATTTTTCCCTCATGGGAAACTTTAATATCATGATACTTCCTACTTAATAAAACACATTATTATATTTATTCCACATATCTTAATGTGTCTTTTGGCTCAACATCATCATAAGGCCATGTAAAAAAAAAAGTAGTTTCTCATCCTAATATTTTAAGGAAAAGTGAAAGAGAGCACTTTTTTTCCCTTTTTTTTTTACTCCAAGATGGCAAATAGCTACTACTTTCTCACTTTTACCAAGTAAAAACATTGAAAGCAACAAGAAGCACTAGACATGATTATACCATATGTATCCCTGTCCCCAGCCATGAATGATCAATAGAGAAATTTTACTGATGTGAGTTAGCCAGATTTTCGTACATTTCGTAAAATTTAAAAAAATAAAACAAAATTTTAAAATAAAATTGGTGAGGCAGAGAAAATGGATGCGTGAGGAGATGAGAAACTAGTATTTTTTTTTATTTGGCCTAATGTCACAGAAGAGAAAAGAAAACACAAGTGGCATTCCATGTTGCTTAATGTACCTGTCACGTAGATGCCTCGTTTATTTTTGGTGATATATATATACGGTATGGACAAACCAAAGGAATGTTAATACGGTTGCTTTATTTTTGGTCTCCTATTGTCGTAATTAGCCCCGCACACGTTGGCCACCTAGAGTATTTATAAATTTCAGCTAATATTGTTTCCAAAAGTGGGGCAATTATTTTTATCAAATAATAATTAGACGCACTTGAGAAATTTAAATTTAGTTTAGTGTATATGAACATATTCATTTAATATTTGGGAAGGGTTGGAGTAGATTCAAATTTCAAAGTTATACCTGTTATTCCCTAAGGGTACTGTCTTCTGTTTCTTCTTCTGTAAAATTCTAAATTAATCATTCTTCAGCAATTTTCTCACAGTATTATTTATATCTATTCATATATATATATAT